AAGTACGTGCCCTTCAGTTAGAGCACCTTCGCTGGGCTGCATCTAACAGGAAAAAAAGTCTTTCAGAAAATTTAAAAAATGTTCCGTAGAGGCAGTGGAACTAAGTTATTCCAGTTAGTCTTTCCAGTAGTTAAACTTTGAAACATGCAAAAAAAAATGACAACCTGTCAGACTTCTTGCAGCTGCTAAAAGCATTTAATTCCTCTTATCCTCAATCTAGCTACCCGTGGTCCAGATTTCCCCCTGCATTTTAGCCTGCTCTTTGACTAAGATGCCTCAAAATGCCTTGAAAATGCTTTGGTGAGACTTCAGGTCTTTGCCTGAGCTTCCCTCAGAAACCATCAGCATTACATTGGAGCCTGACCTCTCCTTCTAGATTTTCCAAGAGTTTCCTGCACTTCCCACATTGTTTCTAAGTTTACCTCAGCAGTACTTAGGGAAATATTGCAGTGAATATTTGTTGGAAATGCTTGCTTTTGTTTCCAGATGCTCCTGTGTTTCACAACTGTTTAAGAGAACAGAGGCTTCAGTTCAAAATTCTATTTGTGAAGCGCAAGTGTGTATATAGAGAGAAGCATTAATAAATACACTAGCAGGGATCTACCGCCCAAGCAACAGAGGGCATGGCCGTGTTTTGCCTGCTTGCTAGGATATTGGCAAACAGTTGTCTCAGCAATGTATGCAAGAGCAGGCTCTGCTTGCTCTACTGCTATGGGAACTTCAAAAGACCAGGGTAGCTGGAACTGGGCTCCCTACTGTTGGTCTTTAGGCACTGACATTCACAAAGGCCAAATTCCTCCTTCCCCTTACTCTGAGCCATAACTACATCTTCAGCTAGAACTGCAGACCCCAGGTCCTGCAGCTTACAGTAAACACTGAAAATTTAAACATAAGCAATATAAAAAATGATGTGGTAAAGAAATGCTGTTTCTCAAGAATGAATTGAGAATTATAAACACAGTTGTAGGAGAGACAGCTGCCTATGTCTAAGATGGTGGTATACATAAAAATCCTTTCTCTAACTGATGCTGACCACAGTCACTGTATGAAAGCCCTTTGCCACAACACATAATTCTGTGAATGCAAGAAAATACTCTCTAGTCTTCTATATTCTCCATTCCTGTAAAGCAATGGAGGTGTACCTCATTTCTGGAATCTTAATAATAGGCGGAGGAGAGTTGACAGCTCTGGGCACAACCCCAGGCTATTAACCCCAGGCAAGCATTAATCCACAGGAAGTGCCCTTCTCTGAGGTTCTTATTGCTGATATAAGCTGAAAATGAAGTAAGTCATACAAAGTAGGTGAAAGGGTTTCTTTTTCCATGAGAGTTGTGTTTTCTTTGTAGGATGTTTTAAGAGGGCGAATGCCCCTTACTATACCTTAGCAATCAAACTGTGTGAATTACTTTTCTATTGTCTACTCCTTTAGTAATGTAACATACGCTGCCCTCTTCATTATAGATTATTTTTATATATCATATTCGGAATCCTGCTTAATGTGAATTGCTTAGAATTGAAATCAGGAACCTTTTTTAGGTAGAAGAAGTTCTGAATTTCTTAGTGCAAATCCTTGTACAACTACGGAAACATGCCAGGGCTTTGCCTGAGATTTGTAATGCTCTGGAATAAAAGATGAAGAATAGCTTGAGTTTGAAAATGGAAAATAATTAGTATGATTTAAAAAAAGATTATTTTTGTGAAGACCATCTCATAAATGTTAAGTACCATAAAATTATATTAAAATTATCTTTATTTGCTGAGTCTAATATTAAGTCTATCTAATTTTTATTTCAAAACCAACTGATAGAAAATGTATTTTATCAGAAGCCATCTATTTTACGGAGCTGTTTTAACTATCCTTATGTGGTCACTTAAGGTAGTTTTCTTGATATTGCTCATTCCTAACATTGGCCCAAAGGAGAGGTTAAATGTTCTAATATTAAGTATTTGGCTACGCGCAATATTTTAAAAGAGCAAAGTTATAGCATAGCCAGATGAATTCCAGGAGGCAATAAATCTGCTGGCTTATATCACCAATAAACACTCTCACGTATTCAGAGACAAAGCTCTCTGTTTAAAAAGAAGGCAGAAGAGACAAGGCAAATAGCAAGATCACAGCTCTGGACTTCAGGAGAGCAGACTTTGACCTGTTCAGGGATCTCCTTGGAAGAATCCCATGGGAGACGGTTGTGGAGAGCACAAGGGTCCAGGAGAGCTGGTTGATTTTCATGGATCACCTTCTCCAAGATCAAGAATGATCCATCCTGATGAGCAAGAAAAAGCAAAGGTGGCAGGTGGCACATTTACCTTCAGTGGAGGAAGATCAGGTTAAGGAACACTTAATAAATTGGTTATGCTCCAGTCCATGGGATCTGATAAGATGCACCTAGAAGTGCTGAGGCAGCTGGCCAATGTCATTGTGAGACCGCTCTTGATAACCTTTGAAAGGTCATGGCGATCAGGAAAGGTTCCTGAGGCCTAGAAAAAGCAAATATCTTGACATATCTTCAGGATGGGCAAGAAGGAGGATCCAGGGAACACGCCAGTCAACCTTACTTCGATCCCTAGGAGGATGATGGAGAAACTTTGTGCGTGTGCCTGGTCATTCAACTACATCCAAGCTGCCTCCCACATTTAGCTTGTGTTTACTGCATGTTATGTTCGCAGACAAATCTTTCTCACCCGGTGAGGGGAATAGTAGCCAAAATCATCTTGGGGGGGTCTTTTTACCTCAATCTTTGCTCCACAAAGCAGCTGAAAGAGGTGAAATCTTTTTCAGACTGGGAGGGGTAATATCTTTGATGCAACAGGAAATCCCAGAAAGAAAGAACACCTGCCAGGGAGGAAAAGATTTTGAGTATTCACATAGAAACCAAACCTTGCCAAAGAAGCAAAACTCCCAAATGTGCCAGTAGGCAGAAGGAGCTTTGCAAAAGGCAATTTAGGAAGTGACAGTGATGTTCTAAATACACTGGACACAAATACAGTCAATAAAATAAACTGAAAGGTGTGTCTGGGGTAGAAAGATTTAAATGATTAATGAAGTGCTATACAGTGCAACATACAGAACAAGTTCCTAGGAAATATGGTGAAAGTTGAAACTACTGTGTTTCTTTTTAAATGGTTCTTAAATGCAAGTATGAATTGAGAAGATCTGAAATGGCTTTCTGTACTTCCATCAGTCAACCTTGAAAATGAGGGAGAGTTCCTAAGTGCTTGGAACTTTTTTTTTTAATAACCAGACTTCGCAACATGGATAAGGTAGACTTTACACTTGGCTCAGGTTACTGCAGTAATTTAAACCCCATGCCAGTTCATTTCTTGGCCACTCAATGTAATCTGCAAGCAGCTGGTGCCAGATTGGAGGACTGCTTTAGTTACCAGACTCTTTCCATAAATCAGCTTTGGAATACTATGTTGGATTCTGGTCATCGCATTACTGAAAGGTGTGAGGCAGGTAGCAAAAATGATTAAGGGCCTCAAAAATCCTCTCATATAAAAGATTAAAACTGTTTACCTCAGAGAGGCTAATGCAAGGGGATATAATGATAGTCAGAATTCCTAGTCCTTATGTAATGCTTTTCAGAACGTATCAAAGCACTTTTAAAGGAGATCCATATCATTATGCCTGTTTTACGTGGGATGGGATATACAAGATAAGCCACATGTAGCATTGCCCCCCAAAAAGCTGCAGAAATGGAATTAAAAACAGGTTTCTTGAGTTCCAGAAAAGTGTGGCAACCGCATAGCCATCCTTCCTTAAGATAAAAACAAGGAAAATAACTCGCAGTTAGAGTGCAGGATCATCTCTCTGTAATAAAATAACATTCAGTGAAATGGAAAGATGTCACACTCAGAGTGAATTGAAAGATTTACTTGATGCCTGATGTACTTAGCCTTCAGAAATAATTCCAGTAAGATACCGTTGATGCCAGAGCACAACAGGATTCAAAATATTTATCCTGAAGTTATTCATATCCATTGTAGGAAATATTGCAACCATTAAGGTTCTTTTAAGTGACATGGACTTTTACATGTCAGAGATTAAGCCAATTCATGATGGATTTAGGCAGATATTTTTCCAGCAGATGTATTAGCTCATAGCTATCATCTCCAAGGCAGTTTGCACAATACGGGACATTATTGTCAAGGTCATAACAGGACAATTGGTCAGAGGTAGTCAGTTCCTATCTGGCTTCTAAATGAGCTGAAAGCATCCATGGAAAACCACAGGATGAGCTACATGATGTAACAGTTTTTAGTCATTCTAAATCAGGGAGGATAATATCTAACCTAATCATATCTGATAAATACAGGCAAGTTTAAATGAAAGACAGAGAATTAACAGAAACATATGTATTGTTTTACCTGCACATCTTTGGTTTGTTGAAGTGCTTAATGAGAGCTATATAAATATTTTGCCAGGCAACCAGGTAAGCAATGGCTACTGTACATTCCTATTGCATTTGCACTATGTAGCAAAAAAAATAAGGTGAGTGGTTCTGGCTGTTTTGAACTCTACTAGAAAAAGAAATCCATCACACACTCTGATGGGAACGCACAGCCGTTCCTTTTACAGCAACAAGGATTTCTGTCAGGTTGATGTGAGCGTGGGCCTGGAATTCTTCTCAAGAGACCTTCAGTTCCTGTTGGGCTCGGTGAGCAGAGGCAAGGTTTTAAAACAGACACCCCATAAACTTCCTTTCTGTTTCGAACCCACCAGTCTCCTATTGCAAAGAGAAATATGAGGAACAACTGAATGTGCCTTTCTACAGATTGGACCCTTGTTCCCTCCTCTGAACATGCAGTGTTTTATTTCAGGTTTATGCTGTAGTATGTGTTTGTCTTGCAGATGTGTACATGTCCCAGGACTGCTCTGCCGTTTACCAGAAGAAACCATCTTTGCTTTAGGAAATCAGTTCTCTGTATGCAGCATACTTCTCATAATGCTTTTAAGTATAAACATGTTTTTTAATAATTTCTTTTTTATGTAATTTCAGAGAAAAAATGATCACTATACTCTTTTTTCCAATGTGTCCTTTGAAGTTAAGAAGATGCCATATAAAGTGCAGCCAGCAAAGCTCCCTGAGGGAAGCATAGCAGTAAGTAACATGAAAATGGTATCTTTGTGTGGAGTGCATGTCATTCTAATCATTCTGGTCATTTGGTCATTCTGGTCACAGCTGTTAAAGTATTTGTAGATGAAAATATTGAGATCAGTCTTTCTTATGTTTCTAGTGTAAATTCCTGAAATAATATCTAAAGGAAATATCTTTATTGCTTTCTATGGGAGTTATTGGTAATAATACCAGTTCCATTTTTAAATAATTGCTTAGTCATCAACATGCAGACTGCTTTATTGCAGTCAGGATGGACTTTTCACCTGGGGAAAAGAAAAAGCTTTGAAAACGATGTCTAACTAGCTTGTTTTGGGGCAAAAAAATCTGGAGGAAGTCTTTGTGCAAAATTTAAAATCTTATTTCTGTCAGGTTCAGTGATCTCACTCTTCTCCCAGTCAGCAGTTACCTCTTACAGGTTTATGGATTATCTATGGCATCCTCTCTCTTATCTATATTGTTTCTGCTACCCTAGCAGAAAGGTCTGTAAGCCTCTCTGAGGATTCTGCCTCACAGAGCATCAGGCACATCATATGACAGTACCTGTAATCCCTACAGAAGTGATAGCTGAATACCAAAGTCCTTGCCTTATTTGTAGATAGAGATTTGTATTGCCCTGGATTTTTATGAAAAATGGGTCTGGGAGGATTAAATTTGATTCAATAGTTTGCTAGTGCCAAAAAATTGTGTTTGGAGAGTAATTTAAAGGAATTTGCTTCTTCTTCTTCTTAGGTTTAATACAGTAGTTTAAATTCACTCTATTTTGTCATTAACGATAGAAATAAGTAAAATATGAGTGAAAATTTGATTATAGTATATAAGTCAGCTAAAATATGGAGGCTTATTGATCTCATCTTTATTGAGATTTATCATTCACAGTCCTTCTTTTAAAAGGTAAGTTCAGACCAAACTTTTCCAAATTAAATCCTGTGGCAAATATATCATGTCAGTCTGTCAAGGGGTAGTGGGAAGGAACAGAATATTTTCTTATCCTTAAAACCAACATAGTAATACAGTTTACATTAAATATATTTTAGAAAACACAGGCTGTAAAGTTTTGTTTTGAACAAGCACAGATTGAATGGTTGATTGATGCTTGTGCTGGAAGACACAAGGTGAAAAATCTTGGTCCTATAGGCTCAATGACAGAACTTCAACCTCTAACATCAGGAGAGCCATGATTTCATCCAGAGAGATTTGATGGTTAATGCATTGCTCATCCAAAAAGGTTCAAAGGCCCCAGGCTGACAGCTATGTTCAGACTCTCTTTATTTTCTTGCAGCATGTGTTCCGTAACAGAAACACATGTTGTGCAGAACTATATTGATAGTGGTGCCTTCATCTGGACTGAAGTGCTTTACCCAAGATGATAGCCTGCTGTTCTCAACAAGTGTCAGATGATCTGCTAAATGATCAGATAAGCATTTTGTTCTCTTACTCCAGCCAGTTCAATGCTTGTTATTTGGTACAGATGATTTACAGCAAAATGCCTGTAATGGCAACTGTAAAATGTTGAAAAATGATAGTGCTTTTATGTCGTTTCATATCTGGACATGGCAGTGGATGTTTGCCAGCTCTACAGCTTGACATGTTATATGCACAAGCCCTTTTGATGTTCCACTTGCAAGAAGAAAGTATTTGCTTGAAGTTGGGCAGTGCTTAATATTTTTGCTCCTTCTGAAAAAGATCAATGGTTACGTTTTAAAGTTTCCAACAATTTATTTGGAAGTTTATGGTTTTCTTTGAGACAGTGCAAGGAGGGAAGTGGAATACAGATTTTAATATTTTAAAATCAATTCTCAACAGCATATACTTCGTAATTAACTAGCACCTTACAGTTTACATAGTTAATATAAGATATTCTAAAAGAACAGAGCATATGTCCTTCCTTTAACTCATACGGAACTGGATTCCAGTTATTCAGACTTATACCTACATTTAATTTTAATGGTATAAATAATCCTATTCACTTCAGTAACATACAGAGTCAAGTATATGCTTACGTATTTGCAGCACTGAGGACTCTATTTTCATCAGCATGGAATATAGGTCTTTATTGTCAACACAAATAGGTGAAACAGATATGGGAAAGGCTATTGTAAATGTAAGGAAATGCTGAATCTTTTATAAGTAAAATTTTATAGTGAAAATGGCATTGATCGGAAAATGTGTTTAGAACTTAGTGGAGCTTAAATCAAAATCCACCGGAATCCACAGAAATCTTTCCACTGATTCTGATAGACTTGGAATTACAACTATATGTTGTACAACTGGTTGAACTTCCTTGCTAACAGCTGTAACATTCAAAAGAAAATTGTCATTTTTCTTAAGAGATATTATTATGGTAAATAATACTTGATGTATTATTTCACTTTGCACATGAAATTCTTTTTACTATTAAAAATATAGAGTTAGAATAAATAGAAGTTTGTTCTTTTGTAATTATGTGATTCTTGAGCCAGTCTGGGAATTTAGTAAAATATAACTTTGTTTCTTAAATGTTTGATGGGATCTTCAGAGGGGACGCCTTTAGCATAAATTGTTTGACCAGTTTCTGACAGTGAACAAAATTAGTTTCAGACTAGGGCTTATAACTCCTTTTAGCTATTACACGACAATGGGTACTTTTATTTTAAATGAAATACACAAAATATACTTGTATACTTAGGAATTACCTATAGTTTCACGGTCTCCATAAGCAAAATAACCAAAGATTAGAGGCAAGTCATCATGGACAGGAAAAGTAGTAGCATGAGAAGAATAATTAACTTAGCTACTGCTTCTTAAAGTAGCAAATAAAATTATGGAGAAGTTAATTTTTTTTAAGTGCATCTCCTAAAGAATGAGAGAAAAAAATTGGCTTTGTGAGGAGCTCACTAGCAGGCACTGCATTCTTACCAGCTGGAAGTTTACTGCTGGATGTTTGCAACAGAAAACCTAATTCCTGTCTATCTGCAAGGGCTTTCCAATGACTTGCTGCCTTCTGCATTGTGCTGCCTTCCAGTGGAATAAAAGATAACTTTGAAAAACATATTGAGTAGCACCAAAATCGAGAGAAGATCCAAACGGTACTGAAAGCAGTGGCAAAAAACCTAATTTTTTAAATTTACTTTCAATGCACTTATCTGTGTCATATTAAAAAAAAAAGACCCTCCCCACAGAAATACTTTCATGAGCAGGAAGTGATTTTCATGGGATCACAATAATGATTCTGAAGTCAAGACTATTAGACAGTATCCATTCTAAGACCAGACTGAATTTTATTTCTAATAGCAGACAAAAGCTCTACCTGTAGCTTTCTATTTGGCTTCACCCTCATCTCATGGTTGAGTCAGACAGCATTCCTTGTCACCCTTTTGCTTACCGAAGGTGTGACTGTTTCACCAGTTTTTTCCAGCAATGTGAAAAAGTCAAAAGGCTCCTCTCTTAAGTCTGTGAGGTGTACTTTTCACCAGCCTGACAGAGAATCGTGCACTGTTTTCAGCATTCAGTGTAAGTCTTCTAGGCCTGAAAAGAGAGGAAAGCTAATATGCATTTGAAGTACAGTGCCAAACATGCTACACTTGTGTAAAAATTCCACTGCTTCATATTGACCACCTTAGATGAAAACAGATAAATCCCCCCAAACATTCCCTGGCTCTGATCCCATAGTACTAAACCTACCATGAGGAGAAAAACAGAAATCCAAGCTGAATAATGCAAACTTATCTTAAATCAAAATCATATGTAAAACTATTGTGGACAGCATGGGGTGGGGTGAGGGGGCAGATAGTCTTCTGTGGAAATGGTGAAATGAGGCAGGCAAAGCTAAGGGGATGCTTTATTTCTTTCTTCCCCTCAATCTTTTGCCTCAACTATGTGGGTGTTCAGGACTTGCAGTGTCAAACTATTCACCAGAAATTGCATTAGTAGCCCTGCAAGTCTTTATAAGGAGTATAAAAGGCAGCAGCGCAGGGGCGTTATCTTCTACTGTTAATGAACACAGGCAGGAGTGAGACTGACGACTGGGTATAATCCTCTGCTCAGAGAGGAAATAAATCTCAAGCACATCTTAGCACTTAGCCCAACCCTTCCCTTGCTTTCAAAAATCTAAGACAAAAAAGAATTCATTGGAAAAGGCTGTGGGTGAGGCAAAATGATTTTAAAATGCAAATAATTCCCTTAGCTATTGATGCCTGTTTCTGGCCTCACTCCTGCTACAAGAGAAGAGTAATTTGGTAGCTTTGAAGCAGCATTCTGCTTGATACAAGGTAGAAGTCATTTATATTGTCCGTTTTACTCATCTAAGGATCATAAGCATGATGCTCTGCACTGCTGTAAGATTAAGGTTTCTTGTTTATATTTCAACATTTGTCAGGTTCCATCTGAGCTATCAAAATGGCTCTGCAAATTGCACACTAATTTCTGTAAAGGCAGAATGGTATAAGAAAGATAGAAGAGAGGATTACAGACCCATGCAATACAAGCAAGGCTGGGACTGCTATATCATTCCTTACTGGTTACGGTAAGCCCTCAGGAAGACCCAGATGTCCCTGTTGGATCCCACAAGCTGAGAGATGCTCTGTCAGCATCACAAGAAGAGCTAGATTGCCTTACAGCTTTCACAGTCTAAGATGAATGAAAACGCAGCAGGTAAATACAGTAAACGTATCTAAGAAGTGGTGCTTAAAAGGAGGTATGGTGTGACAACATAAGTGTCTCAGGTTGCATAGACTAGCTACTAGCCTTACCCAAAGCCTAATGAAATCCACTGCCCCTAATGAAATGTGCTAATTTCAGCATGATCTCAAACATGTTTTGAGATCTGGATTGACCCCACCTAATTTTGAGCAGTTAACAGAGGCACATACATTAGGAGCCTAGTTGCTATATTCTTTTGCAATCAGTAAGAAGGCCCTTCTGACAGTTCAGATCCTAGACAACACCAGATAGACACTTAGCTTACCTATGTCCATCTGCTGAGTAGGGAGAACTGAGAGCGCTATGTTGCTGATGTAGTTGCCTTAAATTTGATGAACGTGCACTTAGTCCGCAAGGAGACAGTTGTGGTTCAGCCAAATATTATCTTTAAAAAAAATCTGTAAACACAGAATCCTTCCTACAAAGCTACTCACCTACTCTGATCATTTCCATATGCAGAATGTACCATTTCAGTATCAATGGGTACTAACCCATTGATAATTGGCCAGTTTCTTGCCAGAGCCTTTTGTTCTGGATTGCTTACATTGTACACTCCTGCCCAGAGCAGCTCTGCTGACTCCATTTGCTGTTGTATCTATTTCAGCAACCTTATACCACTTAGGAATTTGACTCAAGGTATCAGTACCAGAAATAGCTAAAACACATATTTGCCAGGAACTGGGTTTTCCATGCGGTTTGATCTTTCATTAAAATGGAGTCAGTCATTTCATCAGATTTAAGAGGACAGAAAGCCCTGCTTGCATTTGTTTTTTGCTGTTGTTTTCAAATATTTGTTAAGATGCCTGTAGTAACTGCTCAGTCACTTTACTGCTCCATGTATGCAGCAACATGCTCTGATAACTGACAGTTTTAGTGTTAGAACAGAATTTCTTGTGAAGCTCGAACTTGACATCACAAGGCTGTATGCTCATAGTTTCAGATCCGTTTCAAATAAAAAATGGTAACTTCTTATTTGTGTAACATAGACTCTGCTAGCAGAGAAACCATACAGCATGGATGAATTTTTTTATCAGTCTCACTTTTCTCTGTCTTGAGGCCCTTTGAATTTTTATCAGCCCTTCTCAGCTCTTGTGCAGCATGTGATCAGGTTTTCAAGGTGTGCCTCAGGGCGTTCATGAGGATTTTCAAGCAGCAGAAAGGAGATGCTTTCTTTGTTTCGCAGCTGAGCTCGCTGCTTGCTACAGACTTTATGCAGCCCATCATGTCCCTTCTGATTTCCTTAGCCAGATGAACCTTTTACTTGAATTCATCCTTTCCCTTAAATGGCTTTTCTGTTGCAGGAATAACTGCAGAAAGTTCAGCTGACCTTTTTCTCATTCTCTCTGCCCTTGCATTTTAATGACAGACACAGTGCTACTCTGAGACACAAGGAGAGCCATTCAGAAATACTTTGTCCTTGCTAAATGAGCACTGCTACTGCTGAATCTAGTGATACAGAGAGCCTATAAAATTTTGCAGTGCTTAAGAAGTGTGCCAAAGAGCAGACTGGGAGAGGGAATGGTATCACTGCAGTGGCATAGTTACTTACACTGGCAAGATACCTGCTGGGACCCAAGGATGGGATTCGATGTTTTCTGACTAATTTTGTTTGCTTTGAAATTAAAGCTCTTGCTTTAATTAGCCAACAAATACTTGTTCTTTGCATGTGCTGTGTTTTTATCCTGTCTAAAAATGAATGAAGTCTTGCAGAGTAATTGTTTACAGCTGTCCTAGAGAAGTGTATTAGCTGAAAGTGTTTGTTAGATCAGTAATGATATGATCAATAGATCAACTTTAACACCATAAAGGCTGGGCAGTTTCTCAGCATTTTCTGTGGAACCCACTATGTAAGCTTTGGTAGAAGAAAAGTGTCACCCACCTAGAAATTTTGTTCCTAATTTCAGTGATAATATTCGCTCTGAGTCCCATAACAATGAGGGATATGACAAGAATATAGAAAGATTTAAGCCTCAGGAGGCCTTACCCAGGCTTGTCCTGTTTCACACTAGAGGACAGTAGGCTGCACAGATGAAGCGCAGATGAAGACTTCACAGGCAGGCTTCACTTTGCAGGCTTCACAGATGAAGTCCTTTGGAAAGGACTGTTCCAGAGTATCTTCCTGTTAAATGTGACAATAGCTAGAAGAAAGCGCAGCTAGTGCTTACAAAAGGAAAAGTCTAGGAAAATGCTAACCATGAAAAAGAGTGAGAGCAATCAGGGCTAGATGTTGCAGAAAGGCAGAAATTTGCCATCTTCAAAAATATATGGTGAAAAGGGACAGACAGAAATGGGATTAAACTTGAATTAGACTACGGAACTATGTCCAGTCTTCAATTCAGCATGCAGTTCCATGAATAAACAAATCAGAATTACACTAAATTTCCGTGAGATGTATCAGCCAGTGAGTTAGTAGCAAAAACTGAGTAGAAAGAGAGTTTGCAGTGAGAGCAGATCAGGGGCTGAGCAATAGCCAGTAAATTCATTAAGAAGAGCAGGTTTCCTAGCTGTACCTCAAGCACTAAAAAAGAAAGATAATTTGAGAGCTTGTGTAACCAGCTTGCTTTGCAAACTGATTTCATCCTGTCATGAGGAACAAAATAGCTTCCATCTGCCACATACTTACCCTATTTAAAGGAAGATAGGAGTAAATGAGAGCAGTCTAATAGAAAACCCAGGAGAGAAATAACTTCCCAGTCTAAAAGAGAAGAAGAAAGTTTGGCAAAAAAAAAAAAAAGGAGGAACATAATTTTGACTGAGAAGATAAAGACAGCTCAAAGTCATTCTTTCCCACTTGGGGACAGCGGGGAGATACCAAGTATTAATGAGTTTGATGAGGAGCCTTCCAAGCAGATTCTGAGGGCATAGAATGAATTTGGTACAAGGTGTGGAAGGGAGAGCAAGAGGGAGGTTACTTATTTGGATAGCCTCAGAAGGAAGAAGCCAGGAGGATTATAAATACTCTTTGTTAGGACGAAGGTCTAAAGAGATTAATTTTGCTAAGTCAGTTAGAGCCTTTCATAACTTGTTATCCACACCTGTGGCTTTCTAGACCCTCAGACAATGAGAGGTATTTTATGTTTACTTCCCATTTACGTGGCAGTCAGTATACTCAGCTTCCTTTAAGAAGTGTAATGTTATATTGTGCATTATGCTTCTACCACAAAGACAATGCACTCTGCTTGAGGATTTTCTTTTTGGACTGCTTAGCTGAAACATAAGTCATAGAAAAAATATATACTGCTATGTCAGCAGAAGTTAAAATCAGAGTAATGTAGTTGGTATCTATTGTGGTTTGAATTAAGAGTTTGGGATGAAATCAACCATTGTTTTAGAGTAATTCTGTTTAAGTAAATTATACTATTCTAGGCTGTACCATCATACATGAGAAGAATTTTGCTCCTTGAATCTTCTTGAAGTATTTGTACAAACGTTCTCTTCTTGCTACGCTATATTAAGTGAAAATGATTCTTGTGTCTGATATGGCAAGTACTTTTGTATATGAGCAAATGCCATTTCTAGTAATTATCATGGACAGGGGAAAGGAACTTGCAGTAAGTGAAGCCAACATGGGAGAGATCCAAGCAGCCTGTGTTTCTGATCTGCAAACTCTACTGAAGTGAATACTTATAACCACTGTATTCTACTGTTAGATTTACTTGTTTATTTTTTGTTCATTTAATGTATTCTTTTCATTTCAGATCAGAACATCTGTCATTTGGTCTACTCCAAATGTCTCTTTTGTAATCCCTTTATGGGTTATCATACTAGCAATACTTCTTGGACTGCTGGTACTAGCTATGTTGACCTTAGCTTTATGGAAGGTAAGTTGTATTATTACTATTACTGTTGCCTTAATAAAACTGAAAAGAAACTAACAGAGTTTCAGATGAGAAAAGGAAAGGTTGGAACTTGTGATCTTTAGCAGTTTGGAGCAAAAGCAACAATACACATGTGTCTTCTTTGTTTTGGCATCTCTGACATGCTTGTGTCACTGACCTTTACGCAGGGAACTTGTTTTCAAAGTCCTCCTTTATTATTAAAGTCTGGTTATAAATGGGCATACAGAGTTTGGCTCTGTTTCCCAAGACCTATGATCCTCTTTTTCAGGATGTTTAGGTTCATAAAGAAGTGACTCTAACTTTGTTTTCTCTGAATACTCCAGGATTTTCCAGTTTTTGTCAGTGTGTGATTATACTCCCAGCTTTTAGAAAGCATTCTTAAATTTCCTTTTGTATTAGTATGTCATATTTTCTGGTTTTTAAGATTTTTAGTCCTGTGTTGGTTGTTATACTGCCTTCGTAAGTTTTAAGACAAGTTGTTGGAAACCGCTATAATATAGGCAGCTGACATAGCTTTATGCCATCCGTTCAGTCCTCATTTAAAAAAAAAGAAAATATCTTAAGGTAGGCTATGGCTCATCCACCCTTAGCTACTAAATGTTATGGATTAGGTATCCAGTCTCTGCTAACTGTCCAGATTCCCTTTGTAGTCAGGTAATAAAAATAGGGATCCATCACCCTCCTTTGACCTCTGGTGAAGTGTGCACAACTAGTTTCAACCAGAAGGCTAACTTTTAGGCGGTTAACGTTAGGTGAGACGAATCCCATCTTTAGTGACCTTTCTGAATAAGCATCTGGCTAAACCGAAATCAACAGCTTCCTCATTAGAGTCAGTCGATATCAGCATTCATATCAGCCTTTATATTGCCTGCAAAGACAGCTTTCATACAAACTGATTTTTTATTATTCTTTGGACCTCAGTCCCGCATTCCTTGTACCTAAAACTTTCATTTTCATAGGGAACAATTTGAATAGGAAAAAAGGTTTCACAGTCTGTCAGTCTGCCATAGATTGTACTGCACCTTTTGGGTTGAGCAAATGAAGAATCAAACTGCAGCTGAGCTTTTCTGCGGTTGTGATACCTCTGGGTTTTTTTTTTTGTTCTTTGCTTTGTGCAGTGCGGCTTCTTTGACAGAGCTAGACCTCCTCAAGATGACATGGCTGACAGAGAACAGCTGACAAATAACAAGACTACTGATGCATAGAGGAAGACTGACAGTTCAGGTCAGAATCCTGCCTGAGACTAGAAACAAGATAAAGACGAAATGAAGGTTTCCTTATACCGGGCTTCCTTTGTACTTGCAAGTGAAATGATGTTGTAATCTGATCTATGCAACATTCTGAGAATATGCCACGTGATGGCCATCCTTGCCAAAGAAAGCAGCTTTATCACTGCCCTAAGAACATACTCACCACTGAGCAGAATGTTTTTACCATATTCCAGACGTTCTCCATTTTAACAGATGCTTTTGAACATATGTGGTATACTGAGATGCTTCCCGAACAAGCCCAAGTCTTACAAGGAGAGAATGCCTACGTTGCTGTGTTGTCTAGAAGATGGACTAGGACAAAACTTTCGAACACTACTGTATCATGCAGAATACCTTTGACACCTCCCTAAGGATAAGAACTTTTATGAAATTATGGCTCAGGGAGACAAGCAATATATCAGTACTGTTAAAGTACTTCTGAAAAACAAAGGTAGTCTATAAAGAACTTTCTAAATGGGGCACAATTATTTATTTTTTCACCTTTTCAGGATAAGTATCTGATGTAATCAACTTAGAGTCTGAGAGAAGGAAGTCATAAAATAGAAATCATGTACTTACCTTGCATGTAAATAGAAAAATGAATAGAAAAATGAACCCATTGTACCCACTGAGCACATTTTTCTGGGCCACAAGGTGTTTTGCAAAGCAGAGGATTTATACAACATTTGACAAGATAATGCATAACAAGTCCTTATTGTATCTCTTTCAACCCAGAGCTGGCAGCCTCACACCCAGTTATATAAATCCATGCTCAGTATAAAACTGTGGATAAGTCACCTCTCATCCCATTGCTGGTGGCTGCCACCTAGACAGCTGAAACAGGATACAGTCGTTTGTGAAACCCTGATGCAAACTGTCACAGACCCAGTGGTGATATTGAGAGAACTTGGAGGTCTTGGGCTAGGGTGAATTTCCTTCCCTGTTGCCCAGGAATTTACTTTGTTGAAACATCCTCTTGAAATGGCTACTGCATCTTGTGTTGAATTTGTGTCATCGATCCTAACACTTTGTTGATCTAAAGAAATCTCTACCTTGTTCTCTTTTTATAGACTACAGACTGCCAGTGTATTTAAAGCGTTGAAGAGATTTCGGCAAAGTTTAGGGCTGAATATAATTATTTCTCATAGCACAGTCCGTAGCAAAAGGAAGGTGTGCAGAATTTGTATATGTGCAGAAAGTGGGATACTAGCCAGCAAAGCGTTAACCCACAGAAGGAAAGATATTTTGAGGTAAAGAATAAAAATATATATGCTTCAATTTTCTTTTTTTTCTGGATTGAGGATTTTGAAGAAGAGAGGCTTCATTCTTTCTTTTCTATCGGCAAATGGCCCATACGTAAGCTCAAGCTTTAAGCTCTGGATTTATGCAAACTTGTCTGCCTGAAAGCCTGAGTTTTCTGGTATGAAATTTGCTATATTGTATAAATTTCAGGAGACATTGCTCATTTTCTGAAAAATACACCACGTTTTCCTTCTGCTGGGCTGCCAATACATCTCAGCTTCTTAATTAGCAAGCGGCCTCATCCATTCTGCTGCCTCTTGGCTCTTTTTAAATAACTGGCTTTCTGCTTCCTAAGACTTCAGGACAGGGGTAGCCATGTGACATGGTTACTTCTGTCAATCTAACAGGATATTTTGCAGTCTTACCATTGCTAGCTCCCAGGCTGACCTGTGAAGTCTAAGAGAGAGCTAAGAAACCTGAGCAGGTGTGTTCCATCTTCACCTCTAAGGGAAATTTGCAGGAAGACCGTTATAGAGTCTTTAGCGTATTGGCTGCAGTGCGCCTGTGAGACTTACTGAGAGGAGGAGATACGTCTCTCAGAAAAGAGAAGTGCAGCACACCCGTTTTCTGAGGATAGGGAGGCCTGACCACTTGCTGGTCCCCCAGAAAACTGTTGACAACAGCCTTTCCCAAAATGGGTTTGACCTGACCCCTTGTCAATTAGAGAGATCAGCTGACAAATACCAGCACAAAGCAAGCCCCTGTCACATTTGCACACCTCTGTATCCCATATCTTCTAGGCAAAATCATCCTCGCATGACAAAGACAATGAGCTTTTAGCTTTTGTAAATATTGAATTGTTGTGTGTAGCAGCTTCTGAAGGAAGATCAGCTAGCTCAATAAATTCACATCATCTATATAACTCCTATTCTAGTGAAATAGCAACATAAGGAGATACTGAACATATGACTTTTGTATGTGCAATACTTTACATATTACTTATATATCTGAAGCATGTTTACACTGGCATTTGTTTTTGTTTTTAAACTTTTGAATATACTGATTGATGATTACAATAAAGAAAAAAGAATAGGAAAAAAACAAACACAGCTCTGTTTAGTGTGTGTTCCAATGTGTTTTCAATCCTGCAGTGCCCTGAGGATGGGACTAGGTGACCTAATAAGTTCTTTGCAGTTTTAATGTCTATGGTTCGCTTTTGAGCAATTATTCTCCATTTTAATGATGGGCAAAACATGTTCAGATACTAAATTTAAACCAAAAAGAACCGCAGTCACTGTTGGGCCTGGCTGGAATCCATTGGCTGCAGCTGCATAATGTCACTGGAAACCAAATTAGAGGCGCATGATCTGACAAACAGTTACTTTGAGCAAAACTTTGTTTTATATTTCTACATCCTTGTAGATTAAACTTCCCCTATGGAAATGTCCGGAGCTGCATGCTTTCAAGGGCTCTAGTCTTGGGTCCCATAGTTTGTGGATAGCTTTCGCTGCAAATTGCAAACAGCTTTGCAGAGGAGGTTTCTGGGTTTAAGTGCTTGCCAAGAGTGTTTATCCCCTGGGGAAACTGCATCCTGGATGTAGACACTAGCAGGCAGTTGACATAATCTTTGTCCCCAGGATATTATTAGTAACGTGCTATATGATAACCTCTGCCACATCCTTACATGACTGAACTTTTGTTTCAGTGACATCAGCTTTGGGATGAGTTACTTAACGTGACTTATTTTCTGTAAAAGTAATTCAGCCTCACACTCCCAAATGTATGAGGTGAGCTGCTAATTGCAGAGAATATAGCAGTGGTCAGGGGAGCAGGAAAAAACAGGAGGTTACTTTATAAATGAAAATCCTTTAAAATCATTTATTGCTATGACCACCACAATGGTCTAATAAACAAAGAAGGCATTCAACTTTTATTTCACATGTTTCTTGCAGATTTTAAGAAAGGCTGTCCAGTTAGTTCAGCCATGTAGCAGACTTTTTAAGGGTATCCAATTTTTAAGAGTATCAAACGACATTTTCTGTTTTATGAAAATTTCATAATTTACATAACAGTGAACAGTACATTTGCATATGTTGTCACTTAGGATTTATTCTTTATAGATACCTAGCAAATACAATTTTCATGTAGCTACCAGGTTGTTAACAGCAATTTTCTCTTGGCACCATTCTGTGACTAATTTACAAATTTTCCTTTCCTCTCCAACTTTTGCACTTGATAGGTTTCCCATACTACCCATTCCCTGAAAATGCACCAGTTTTCCCCACCCCTTAGCCATAATTTTTTCAGTCGTTAGCAAGACGGATCTTCAAGTAGCATGGCGTACTACTAATGGCGAAAAAGCCATTTGGGAACTGACAAAGCATCTAGATGTATGCAGGGGAGAGATAAGTCCCAATTGGCCATTGAGTAAGGTACTCTACTGCTTTGTAGTAAACTTTTCTTTTAATGAAATATTGTCTGCCTGACACACTGCCTTTAGGAATTGTTTATGAGTGAATGTTTTATTTATGATTGTTGGCGAAGAACCATATTAAAATGTAGTGTAATGGTAGTGCCTCTGGACAATAAGAAGTCTTGAGTTTAGCCTATGCAGGCGCCATGATGTGACACAGCAGGA